CTTAGCTCTTTAAACTTTCATGATCCATGCTAGATAGGACTTAAATACACAATTAAGAAGGCAATTATTCTACCTTAAGTCTTGAATTAAAGGTATGGAGGCTCAATGTTGCAAGTCTTCTACAATTTCCTCAAGTTTCCAAGCAAAACCCTTAAGAACAATTCAATCTCCTAACTCTCTCCCTCTCAGTCGGTTTGTCTCTCAAATGGATAGAGCAAATATTGTGTTTAGGTGTAATGAAGCCTCAATATGTCTTAGATAGTGGCCCACCAATATGGCTTTTTGGTAAATAATGCAAATTATGTCATTTATCAATATTGATCTAATTTAATCATACCAAAACACATTTTTTAAATAAATACACCATAAAATCACATAAAATCTAATTGACACAGAACATCAATCAATTTCAGATCCCGCCGCCGATAAGACCTTCAATTAGCAGTTTAAACACAAAGACATGAACAGATAATTTGGCAGGCAAACAGATAGAATTGCAATTTAACTAATATACTCAATCAACTCGACTTCATCTAGATGAAGATTTAAAGGAGAGAAGAGGGAGATCAGAGAAGTAAGAGAACTATTGCTGTCTCTCTCTCTCCCTATCAAGAAAATCTAACGAGAAAAACAAGAGGATTTTAGAGTTTAGGAAGAGGAGGTATTTCACTTTTATTAGTTGATTGAGAGATAAATGATAATCTATTTGATATAGAATAAATTCACTTGGTATCATAACTTGATACTCGTTTATTAAAGTTGTGGACAAGTACTTTTTGTTAAAATTTTAAGAGACAACTTAATAAATATTAAATTATAAATGATATAGAACAATACTCTAAGGCCTTATTTGATTAATAGGATTATTGTATATGATTGGGATTATTAGTCCAAGGACTAACATTCTTGTGTTTGATTGCAAATTTTGTTGACTGAATTACATATATGGCAAACATTCAAGCCGAAGTAATTAACAAAATTTTAATACTATGAGAGGCTTGGGATCATAATCTCATGTATGAAAAAAAAAAAAAAAACACAAAAAACACAAAATGTATGTTTAATAAATAGTTATCTCACTAATTTAATTGAATAACTAATCTTATACTAATTGTCTATGTTGTTGTATATCAGTGTCAAAAAACATTAATTAATCTTCTACGAGAATATAATTTGATTTGAAATTGCATTATTTAAATTTATGATTCCTTGTGGGTTATTTATATGTAACTTTAAATTTAGTTTGGCTGTCATGATCTGAATTTCATGCTTCTAATGGATTTGTCTCAAGGGTAGTAAAAAATGTATAATCTAAATTTCGAGATATTAACAAATGTTTGCTGCATAGATTAGCTTGTATCCTTATTTTGATTTTCAGGATTGAAAATGGAGTGGGAAGCTGTTCATATAGAATAAAAATTGTGATTAGAGAGCAAATGAAACTGTAATGCGATGAAACGAGTAAAAGGTAAGTTTCATATAAGACATGTTTAAACCCGCTTCAGCTTTGAATTGCCACCAACAAAATGACTTATTGAGTTTCATGCATTTTGCAAAGCTGGATAAAAAGAGGAGGCACTGAAGATATTTTTTTTTAGAGAATTATAATTTCATTAATTATCTATGGTTGTGATGTTTTCTTAGAGATATTCCTATTCAAAAATTAAATTAGACCTTTTGTTTTTTCCCCTAATAATGCAAGTTGGGAGGTATAGATTTTTTATTTATTTGTTGTTGACCATTCATGAAAGAAATTTAACATTACTTTATCTTTGGTTTTGTTTGGATTGGTTTATTGTATGGGTTTGTTTTTGTTAAGAAACACATTAGATTATATAATTTATTGTTTGGTGATTTCTAAATTACTAGAAAATTTATTTTAATCTAATTTGTTGGCCCTTTTGTGGTCAGAGTAGTGGAGCTTATTGTTTGTTTTCTCACATGACAATGGACATGGCTAAGATGGAGGATGCGTCAAGTCCATGGAGGGAGTGTTGGTGAACATAGTTTTAAAGCAATGCAGTTTTATATGACAATGTCACTTAAGCTAAAACGTCTATTGGTCACATATAGAAGATGGTTTTGAATTGGTTATCTCTTTTCAATGTTAATTAACTCTCAATTACATCAATCTAATAAATTTGGTTATTATGTTAATTTTATTGGGTTTATTATTTTGTTGTACTTTGTGTCCTTTTTTTTAACATAGCGAGCTTGAATGTGCTACAAGTGTTAAGAGTATGAGATAATGTGTCATTTCAATGCTTGAGTTATTTATCTTTCAAGGTTCACTTAGCAATTTCAGACAGTTCTCAACTTTGTTCACATAGTTTTATTAGAGAGCTTGGATGTATTACAAGAAGTTATTAATGGCATATTTAGTTGTGCTATTAATTAAGTAGGCACCGTTAATTAGTTTTGCTAGCAATGTTTAACTTAGGAGTGTCGTAGGCATGAGTAATTTTCTGTTTTGATTGTTGTGTGGTACCTCAGATTTTTAGACTCTGATTTTGTCGTTTTAATTTGTCAAATTGTTAGAAGGAATTTTTACCCTACATCACTATTTGTGTATGGACAATTTCACTAGGTGGTAATTTTTATGGTTAGAAACTTCATATTAAAATATTGAAATATATAGAATTATTAAATCATTGGATTTTTTATATGTTATTGGAAAGATAGTTGGTTTTGGAAGAAATCAAAATGTATGCAAGTATTTTTAGGCACGAGTCATCTACTAGAAAGGTAAGATTAGAGACCAAGTTTTGCAACCTACACTCTCTCAAGTTGAGTTAATTTTGTAAAATATTTTGGTGACATGTCAAAGTTGTTAGACTTCTCTCTAACATTTTATTTGAAAAAAAAGAATAGTTAGGTAAATGTTATCTAATGCAGTACTATTTTGTGATCAAGTTCAAATTTTTAAATTTTAACTTTTAACTCTTTTTTTTTTTTTTTTGCCTTTTTTTTCTTTTTTTTTTTTTTTTTGCGATGCTTGCTTAAATATAGAAAATAAGTGTCAGGCATGTAATCAAATTGTTTGAGACATGAGATCTCTATTTTGACACAGTGAGCTTGAATGTGCTATAAGTGCTAAGAGTATGAGATAATAGGCTATTTCAATACTTGAGTTATTTATCTTTCAAGATTCACTTGGCAGTTTCAAGCAGTTCTCAACTTTGTTCACATAGTTTTATCAGAGAGCTTGGATGTATTGCAAGAAATTATTTATGGTGTATTTAGCCGTGCTATTAATTAAGTAGGCACCATTAGTTAGTTTTGCTAACAATGTTCAATTTAGGAGTATCGTAGGCATGAGTAATTTTCTGTTTGATTGTTGCGTGGTATTTTAGATTTTTAGACTTTGATTTTGTCATTTTAATTTGTCAAATTGTTATAGGCTTAAGGTATTTTTTTACCCTATGTCACTATTTGTATATGGATAATTTCACTTGATGGTAATTTTTATAGTTATAAACTTCATATTAAAATATTGAAATATATAGAATTATTAAATCATTGAATTTTTTTATATGTTATTGGAAAGATAGTTGGTTTTGGAAGAAATCAAAATGTATACAAGTATTTTTAGGCACGAGTCGTTCACTAGAAGGGTAAGATTAGAGACCAAGTGTTGCAACCTACAATCTCTCAAGTTGAGTCAATTTTGTAAAACATTTTGGTGACATGCCAGAGTTGTTTGACTCCTCTCTAACATTTTATTTGAAAAAAAGGAATTGTTGGGTAAATGTTATCTAATGTGACACTATTTTGTCATCAAGTTGAAATTTCAACTGTTATTGTGCTACTTTTTTTTTTCCATTTATTTTTTACAATGCTTGCTTAAATATAGAAAATAAGTGTTAGGCATGTAATCAAATTGTTCGGAGACATGAGGTCTCTATTTTTTGTGATTTAGTAGAGATCCTTTTATTATGAGATTTTATTTAACAATTAGTTTAAGAACATATGAGATGTTAATACACTCTATGTGTGTCGTTGGTTGGCTCTCATTTTAAATTGGATGATTAATGTTATATTTTTGGCTAGCTAGGATGATTACTCTTTTGTATCAAAATATTCATTCATCCACTCAAAAAAGGTATTGAAATCTGATAAGGCAAAACAGTTACTAGTTATGATACTAATTCAATAATATTTTTTTATTGACGGTTTGTTATACATGTATCATTTTAACATGGATCAAATTATAAAATTTGCTATTTGGACTTAAATTTTAGCAAATCTTTTTAGATTTTTTGCTTATGTTACACTGAAATATAAAATTCATTATTTGGACTTTATTTTTGAAGTTTAATATTTGAGATTTATGAATATTTTTTTCAGTTCAATGTGTAGCAGCAATTTCAACTTCTTATCATTGAGATTATAATTGAAATAATATTATCATTTTGAATTGATTTATTACAATTGAATTCCATAACATTTGTGATACCAAAAAAATTATTGGTCGTGCGTTTAGGCACCGGTTATTCCTTGTGTATATACACAAGGTAGTTCGACTATTTTGTAGGAGTTTGTCCTTTTAGATAAAATAAATTAACGCTAAGACATTTAGTCAAGGAAAATCAAAATTTGAATTTATCAAACCAAGTGCCCTTAAACTATTTTATTTAAATTTATCATTTTTTTATGTGACTTTAAACATATGATAGGATGAATTTTATTATTTTGTAAAGGAAGAATTACACATCACTAGAGAACATAAAAAATATTTATAAAAACTAAAAAATTTATAATTTTAATTATTAATATTTATAATAATTATTACTTTATAAACATTTTTTTTTATTCCTACTTATGTGTAATTTTCCCTTTTTTAAATATGGTCATTCCTGCACATTCTATTGTTGTATATGGCATTTATTGTATAAATATAGATAAAAATTGATGAGTGATGATTAAAAAATATCTATCTACATTCTACTTATGAAAGCACATAGATTAAAGAATTATCAAATTCAGGAGTGATGAAAATTGAAATCTAGGACTAATTGACAAATAGGTACAAGTGGGAGGATGAGTCTGCAAAACCTAATATTCTCTCTTCTAAGAGGTGGGTGGGGATGGTTGACTTGGTGTATAAACAAAGGCAAAAACACTTTGCTTGTTCTGAGAATCTGATTGTAGAGGGAGGAAGAAGAAGAAGAAGAAGCAAGAGAGTGAGAAGAGGGAATGAGAGATTTTAGAACTTCTGGGAGTTATAGGAATGGGGTTGCCTGGGAAGAAAACAAAGTCAATCGAGGGGTTGATTTGCAATAAAGAGAAAGGTATGGGACTTGAGAACTATATTATCTTTCTTCCCAAGGCCGCCCATTCCGATGATTTCCAGTTGTTCCTCCCTTTCCCTGGCTATCTCAATTCCTTTTATGCACTGGTGATTCTGGACCGTTCATGAAGGTAATCTAGTATATTTCTTTTTCCTTAATCTCTTCATTGTTTCTTTTATTTTTATTTGGGTTTGGCTTTAATGTTGTTAATTGATATGATTATGGTTTTTGGATTCTTGAAAGTTGTAGTGATGATCTATGAAGAACCCCAAATTTCAGATCTACAAGATCTAATGATCATTGCTGTGTTCAGAGAAGTTTATGATTGAATTTTTCTTTTGGGGTTCTAGATAAGAACATTACTTTATGAATAGCTTAATGCAGAAATTATAACATGAGTTTGAAACATTATTTGTCATTTAATTTATAGAAAAATGATATACAAACTCATTTTTTAAATTAAATGATGTATAAATAAGATGATTAATTAATGATTAGAGAAAATATGATAGTTGAAAATTTTATTTTATTTTTTTTGTAGAATAACAATGCGCTATATATATATATATATATATTTTAACCATATAATATAGGAAAATTTTCCCACCGTATGCAATATCTATACAAACTTACGGTAGTTTTTTTTAATTTATATAAATCATCTTATAAAAACGCATAAATTGAATGTAAATTTGTGTAAATTTAATTTCAAAACTTTTATGAATAATCTTACATGAGTTTACATTTAACTTATATATTTTTACCGAATCACTTATGTAGGGTAATTTTGTGTAGGTAATTGTTGGACATAGACACAACCAATATAATATTTTCACATAATGTAAATATGAAAGTAGTGATGCCAAATGGCATTGACACAGATGTATTATTATTTAATTAAAAATTTAAAATAAAATTAGTGACAACATCAATTAAGTAAACACAATATCAATTACTCTCTAGGTAGTCTTGTAACGTAGTCTAGTTAGTCTTGGTTTGGGAAGAGTTAAAATAGCCCAACTTTTTGGCTATTTTAACTTGATTTTTTTAGTTGTTTTTGGCTTTTTTGACTTTTGTGAAAGAAAAAAACATTTGTTTTATTGGTTTATGTAGCCAATTTTATCTTTTATGTTTTTTAAGTTAAAAATCCCTTGTCAAACATAGCTTTACTTAGTGGGTATATTTTTCATATATCCAACTGAGAATTTGGACAGATATATGGGCTTAATTGGTGTTGTACTCCAGGTCTAGTCAACTAAAAGTTTGGACAGATATATGGGCTTAAAAACTGTGAGGCTGATTTGGAAACTTTTTTATACCCTATGGCTCTTTTAGGCCCAGTTCATATCAGCAGAGACCATGGTTTGTGGTGTGTTGTGTTTATTCATAGGGCAGGGGAGGTCTACCCCCTGTAATCAATTGGGTTTTCCTTCTATCCGAGTAAGGCTGAGCTGTGAGATGTTTTGAGTTTGACTTGCTGAGAATCAATCAAGTGAGTTGAGCTTAATTAAACTCGAGTTTGACTTGAATCAACTTGATTATTCAAACGAGCCTGAACTTAAAATTGAGCTTGAAAAAAAATAAAATTGAATTAATTTGTATATTAACAGAAAAAAGAAAAATTTATGAGCAAAATATTAAAAAAAATTTACTCATTGATTAGTGTATGTATTTCACTGTATTAATTCATGCTAACACGATCTTTGTGTGGTTCTTGCAGGACATGGATGTTAAGAGAGGTGTGTAAAACTTCATATTGAACGCTCATTTTAGCAATTTGACATGAATTCATATATTGTATTTTATGAGGAATCCAAGGTTAGATGGTCTTACGGCCTCCACTTTGGACCTCAACTGTGGCATGAAACACATGCTTGTGTTAAATCCTTCTTGACTGTTGTGCTAGAGGATTTCAGATATGAATGTCCAAGATAAACTCAAGAGATTTACGTGATTGGCCAATTGTCTACTCTACAAAGAGTTTGATTTCACTAAATTTGAAGAAAATTTACAATCACTCAATTCCTCACTACTCCCTACAATTTCATGCTTGTCATGCAAAATACAATTCCTCATCTCTCTATTTATAGGTTTTTGATTGAGGATGAGGGACTTATGCAGTGATGCCAAATTCACCGTCTCACAGGAAGTTTCACTGTAGCTTCCATTGTTCGACCTTCAAAGGTCGAACTTTAGATGATGTTTCTTTACGGCAACTTCTGGAAATTTTAGGATTTTCCATCTTGAGCCTTCGAGTCCTTTCTTGCTTCGTAGAGAAGTTAAGCCAATTCCTTCGACATAGACTATGGTCGTGATATTGATACAATAACCTAATATTTGATCTCTGATTTGTTTTTGTGGACTGTATCCCAAAATGAAGTAATCAATGAAGATGGAGCTGCATTAATTCTCAATTACCAGAATGTTCAGAGGCTTCAAAAGACAAAAATCCAGTCATCTCCATAAATACAAAAGAATTCTTAAAGTCCTGGTTTTAATTTTTTTTTTTTTTTTTTTTTGGGGGGGGGGGGGGGGGGGGGTGGGGGGGGGGGGGGGGGGGGGGGGGCGCTTGGTAGTGTTGGAGACTTGCAGGGAGACTTGCATGTTTTACTACTGTCGGTCCAAAATTGTGCATGAAGGGTTCATTAAGAAACATCCATATCTCTAAATAAAGTGAATTGAAAGATACTGATACACAGAATATATGTATATAATTGAATTGAAAATGAGTTTGGTACAATGCATTTATATATTTCTAGGAATGGCAACGGGGCGGGCGGGGCGGGGCCGGGGATTATCCTCTCCCCGTCCCGATCCCGATTGAGAAAGTCTCTCCTCCCGGCCCCGATCCCCGATGGGGATCCTATCACCATTCCCATCCCCGTCCCCTAACGGGGATCGGGGTTCCCGGACTCCGAAAATTTCCCGGCCCAAATCTGTTATGGTCAACAATACCATCAACAACAGCATAATCCGTTTCAAAAAAAAAAAAATCTGTTTCAACACATATATACATAGAAAAATCTGTTTCAACACCATACATGTACCAATCTATATACAACACCATACTGTGTATGTATTTATACCTGTGTAATAAAAATAAAAAATCTGTATATATACATACTGTCTAAACACATGTAACATACACATACAAAAATCTGTTTGAACGACGAAGGAGGATCGGCGTCGCGGAGAGGACGATCGGCGTCGAGGAGGAGGATCGGCGTTGAGGATGACTCTCGGCATCCCAGACGCAGATCGGAATGAGGCAATGACGGAGATCGGGGTGAGGTAGTGAGGTCGGAAGGAGGGAGATCAGCATGAGACAGTGATGAAGATCGGAGGAAAGGAGGGAGATCGGAGGGAGGGGAGGCTTAGAGAGAGAGATGAGAGACAGACAGACGAAAATGAGTCTGAGTCCATCCAGAGGTCCTAAACATATAATATAATATATATATTATAATAACCCTAACCCTAAACATATAATATATATATTATAATAATTACACGGGGTCAGTCGGAGATCAGTCGGGACGAGGCCGGGCCGGGGCCGGGGTTGGAAAATTTATCCCTATTCCCAGCCCGAAAATCATCGGGATCAGATTTTTAATATCATCTCCGGTCCTATGGAGATAAATTTCGAGAAAAAATCGTCCCAATTGAAGTTGAGAGATCAAGTCCCCATCAGACCGGATTTAAATTGTCATCCCTATATATTTCTATTCTATGAGCCACACTGAGCTTTGTATGGATGGAGGAGTGAATATTCGGGACTCTGTAGATGCTTATGGGGGGACTGTATGTGCATCTTCGAGATGGGCGCAGTCTAAAAAGTGGTCAAAAAGTTTATATGCATCTATCCTTATATTGCCTCTGGATATGCTAAAGTTAACAGAAGCATCCAATTAACAGTGATAAATATAATATAATATAATAAAATAAAACAAAAACAGAGGAATAAAGATATATATCAAATATTACGTATCTAAAAAGAGTAAAATGGATTTTGACAAAATAATTTTTCAAAAACAAAATATTAGATTATAATTATTTTGACTTATATTGACAAATTCAAAGTAGAAACAGTAAACCTATCCAATTAAACTAACTTAAAACTTGTTAAAACTCGTCCAAATTTGTTAACAGATTTAAATGGTTTACATTTTGTAAACTTAATTAAAATTATATTTAAATAAATTGAACATTAATAAACCCACTTCCATCATACCATCGCCACTATTGCTGCCGCGCCACCACTTCAATTGAATAAACTGTAAATCATAATTTTAAAAAAAAAGTCATTTGAAATTATTTTAAACAAAAAATTGACTTGGTGTTGTCATACTCAAAACATAAAAGTGATCTAGAATCTCCACCGTTCACTCCTAAAATGGCTACTAATCCAAGAAAAAGAAGGTGATTAAAAAAATTGAAAGTCTAGGCACCGAGAATATATATTTAAACTTCTTGTTAGGGAGTTATGTAGGACAATCTTCACTGTATTTAAAAAGATTTAATTCTGTTGTGTACGAAACAACAACCAGAATATAAAGAAATAGAGAAAAGGAGAGAATATGTTTGATTACAAAAATCAAACTCGAAATAAAAATAAATAAATAAACAAAACAGATTTTATTTTGTTACAAAAACAAAATTAAAATCTGAATAAATAAACAAATAAAAACAACACTGAAAGTAATTAAATAACTTACTTGATTTAATTTCTTCGAATTATTTTTCTGATCAAGTCCAGTGTTTAACACTGTGTCCTTAAGACAGATTCGTCATCTCCACGGTGCTTTCAGAATTCGGACGTCTATCTCCCAGGATGAAATGATCTACCACAAACAATAGCAGCACTACAAATTGTTTGCCTTACGAACACACTAAGTGTTTACGCTCTTTCTTTCGGAAATAAAATGCAGCAAGATGAAGAATATAATTAGCAGAAGTGAAATACGAAATTTCTAAAAAATGCAAAATATCAAATGAGGGTGGTCCTATTTATAGATGTGAAAAAATAAAATTAAATTCAAATGTTTTTGGCCCAAAAAGATTAGAAGCCCAACCACACACCCGCGCCTGACCGGACGGACGGCGGCGCGCGTGTGTGGTGATTTTTGGGTCCAATGGGTCTAGCCCATTTTGCCCATAACCTCTCCCTCTAAAACACTTGGGTACCCCTTGGGGCACACCCCAAGTATCTCACCCTAAGCCTTATAAACCCTTTCAAAACCTCCCACCAAATCAATGTGGGACAAGCCAATTTACAACCTTAAGGAATTTCCACCAAAACTCCATTTCCATGGAGCACACTTTGGCTTCAATTTCCCATTCACTCGGTAATGGTTTTGAGCAACCAAATATACCACGTGAATCACAACGCGGCATAGAACGCGTTACCACTTTGACCCGAGTAAATCGACACTCGGGGCCCACCTAAAAAATAGACCGAACTTTGAGGAAAAATTAACCATTTCCAACAAGTTATACTAAGAATAAATTTTGAGTCCGAATCATCTCCAACACTTTTTTTTATTTAGTCATTATTCAACAGTTAGTCATTATTATTGACGGTGACCTTTGAATTTACTAGCTAAATAAAAAAAAGTGCCGAAAATGATCTTCTTCCATAAATCTTAACCTTTAATTACAAATTCTGAACATTTATTTTTTTATTTTTTTATTTTTCTGAGTCATAGAACTGCTGGTAGAAAAAAGCTCTATAATATGAAGTTGTTGTTGTTGGGGTATATTCCCTTAGTGAAGTATGAGATTTAATTGATTTGTTAAAAAAATTTTAATTTAGTTTGGTTTGAATATAATATATTTTATATATTATATTTAATTTTTAAAAACCCATGAATATTTAATATTCAGTTTAATAGTAACTAGGATTTTAATATAAAACCTAAGGATCAACAATATTACTTTAGGAGTGTTTTGTTTTTTTCGGAAAAAGACAACGGTTGTTGGAGTTGTGTGGTGCGTGATCAACTTCAATAGGGTTATCATCATTGTTCTTCAAGCATCGGCTTGCTATGGGTGTATGGTTTTGGATTGAACTCAATTTGATGAAATTTAATTCGGTGAAACTATTTTGATTTAGATTTGTGATCTTCTTTAATCTTGTTTTGAAGACTTTTGTTCATCTGTTTGGTGAGATATTTCTTCTTATTTATTTGTGATTATTTGGAATTTAGCATTCGTGTCTCGTTTGTAATCGTTTGGAAACTGTTTGGTTGATTATAGAATCGGATTTCGATCTCGTGGATATACCTCATATTGAGAGAATCACGTAAAAATTCTTGTGCTGCTGTTGATTTAATTTTTTTCGCATTAGTTTTTATTCTCATTGATTGGTTTACTCGTAGAAAATCATATATTTTCAATAACAACTAGTATCGGAGCTTATAGTTAATTTAGGTTTATTTATTTGTGTAAATCAATAGAAGGGAATATGAGTCGTATGTCTAGTTTCAATGGAAGCAATTGGGTAACTTGAAAAACTAAAATTGAGGACCTATTATTTTGTAAAGATTTGTATGGACCTATTGAGGGTAATAGTGACAAACCTGATGATATGAAAGATGATAAATGGAAGAGGCTTAATCGAAAAGCCGTTGGTGTTATCCGTCAATGGATTGATGACAGTGTATTTCATCATGTTGCTATTGAAACTTCGGCACATGATTCATGGAAAAAATTAGAAAGCCTTTATGATAGGAAATCAGTCACAAATAAAAATTTTCTATTTCGTAAATTGGTTAATTTAAAATATAAAGAGAGCAGCCGCATTCCAGAACATTTGAATAAAATAAAAAATATTGTTAACCAACTTGCTTTTATGAAAATTATTTTTGATAATGAGTTGCAGGCTTTGATACTACTTTGTTCTTTGCCCGAAAGTTGGGAGGCTTTGGTTATGATGGTTAGTAATTTGTCGCCCGATAGAGTTGTCATAATGAGACAAGTCACTAGTAGCTTGCTGAATGAAGAAACTAAAAGAAAATCAGCAGGTTCCTCTAATTCAGAAGTATTTGTTGTGAGAGGCGGAAGCAAAACAAGAGGGAGGAGTAAGACTCCTCATGGTCGTGATCAAAGCTGTGACAAATCAAAAGATGGTTCTTTTTTAAAAAAAGACATTGAGTGCTATTATTGCCACGAGAAAGGGCACATGAAGCGAGAATGTCGAAAGCTCAAAAACAATGAGAAAAGGAAATGTGTGACAAAAGCGTAGATAAGAAACAAGAAGACACAACGGCAGTTATTACCAATGGTGATCTCATGGTCGTTTGTGAAGATGATTGTATCAATTTTGTGTGCCAAGAGAGCAATTGGGTGATTGATTATGGTGCTTCTTTTCATATGACTTCTCAAGTTGATTTCTTCACTACCTACACCAAAGGAAATTATGGTTATGTTCGAATGGGTAATGAAGGTTTGTCCAAGATTATTGGCATGGGTGATGTTTCCTTGGAAACA